TCAAGAGGCTAAAGTCATATATCGTCTAGACAACATAGATTTTGCATGTTTGCATTAGCATACTAGACCGATAAGAAATATATTAAGTACATAATCTGCTAAGATAATTATCCCAGAGCATAGATTAATTCTGGAGAAGACCACTGAGCCAAATTAGTTGCTATATTTCACATAATTTAGGGGATAGAGATAACCACGAGGAGCAAACTTTTGTAATGTATTCCCTGGGTACACTTTGGGATAATGGCTTAATTAAATTTAGTTGATTTAATATTATGATAGTTTGGAAATGAACTATGGGATAACCGACTACTATTTTTGCCCTTAGTTCTTCAACAACTTCTAGGGTCTATAGAAAAATAGATATAATCATGTATTTCATTTGTTCTAAAAAGTTTTTGAAGTTTGTGATATCTAGTTTCCTGTATCATAATCCGTAACATATCAAAGTCGAAAGAACGCAATTTCTCTAGGCTTTAATTAGATGAGTCATTCACCAAATACATATGTGTTCGTGTCCATCGAGTCAAGAGTCGTGCACCAGAAAACACGGACTTCCTAGTCAATATTTTAGTGATTAAATTCAAAATTATCACACTGACAACAATACAAACTGAGTCTCATATACCTATGTATATATATATATGCCATGTTTTTATTTTTTTATCCCCCGTTGTATCGGTAACAAATAAGTGAGGCGTAATTCGATCCCATGTTAGTATTCCATTTTCCTTGTGTTTACGTTTTATTTATTCCTCAATTATGCACACGGTTTTATACGTTTTCAATATGAAGTCCTATATATATTCCAGCCTCAGTTTCTTTGCTACAAAGTCAGGAGAAAAAAAAGAAAACCCAAACAACATCGAGCTAACGACATCAAAATAATGCAAAACAAAAGCTCCTATCTTTTTTTGTAAGTTGAATAAGAAAAGCTCAAGATACACGTAATATATTAAGAATATTTTTTATAAAAAAAACTATTGTCCTAATGCTTTTTACTCTTTAAAACTGACATTTTTTGCACATTTAGCTCCGTATTTCCGAAACGACTCAACCTGCCTTTTCCAAAAACTAATCACCACTTCTCTTCATCATTAGAAATTGAATGTTTTCGGAATCATTCAAATCGGATACTCCATTTTCTAACAAAAATAGATTTCTATTTTCTTCACGATTTGCTTTGTATCTCCAAAACGGCTGGACCATTTTTTGCCAAAAACTAATCAGCACATTTTCTTACCAATAGGAATCGATTGCTTTTTGAATCATTCAAATCGTTCATTCATATGCAAAAAAATTTAACTTCGATTTTTGGACAATTACAATAACTTACCCTACAAGAAGTTAAAAAATATAATAATTTTAAAAATTAGTTATAAATTGGGGGGTCTCCAAAAACTGATACGAGACCATTTACACGATTGCAATCCTTCTAGTAATCCAGAATAAAAAAAAATCAAAGTTGAATTTTGGGGATGAGACTACATACACACACCGTATATATATATTCATATATACATATATTATTAGTATTATATATATACATATATTATTCCTATGTATACATAACGAAAGTGAACGTTTAATTTTAAGATGAGTTCAACGATTCGAGAAAGTTCGCGACATTCAAATTGATGCTTTTGTTTCAACTTGAATAAACTTCGTTATTGAGATATTATTTTCATTTAATTACTCTGTAATTAAGCATATTCTGTGTAATAATAATATATCATCTCCGATTATTTGATCTTCATAATTAAATTGTATTGTAAGATATTTTTAACATCTTAGCAAAGTTTTGAAAGAATGACTATAAATCATAGAAGAGAAAGATTAATTGAGGCAACTTAAAATTAGTTTATCATATGCTCATTAGTCTGTCTATAAAAGTGATGGCATCAAGTATACTGGATTCTCTCAAAAAATAAATCTGTTGTCTACTACCCTATATATTTATATATTTCTTTAAATCCTTTAGCTAATTAGGAAAGTTCTGTCCAAGTATCATAGTTGTAAAGTGTCGTCAAATAGTTCAGTGATTCCAATTAGAGAAACAACTACTTCAACAAACCACAACAGAGAACTTCTCTTTAACGAGGACAAAATTAATGAATTGCTCTAAATGTTTCGACATATTTAATTAAAACTTAATATCGAACAAGAATGATAAAGGATATATATAATATATAAACGGTTCAGCCGTTTTCCCAAAAAACATATGGTGTTGGGTAAAAATCGGCCGGGCCGTTTTCTTGTAATAAAGTGTTAAAATAATTTTTTTTGACAATTTTTATGATTTTTTTTACGGTAGATATCATAGTCTTATACATCATACTAGAATAATACGGCCCTACGACAAGTCGTTTAATTTTAAAAATTCTTCAAAGTTTGCAAAAATTTGTATAATTTTTTGGCATTCATCAAAATTAGACCTTTCATAGACATTTGCTCAAAAATGCTTGAACTTAAGAATTTAAGCCAATTTTTATGAAACTTTTTTGGCAAAATATATAATGGTCTTATAGAACTTACTGAAATATTACGGCCTTACGACAAGTAGTTTATTTTTTTAAATTCATCAAAGTTTGAGGAAAAGAGTAGTTTTTTCGCGTTTGTTAAAATTAAAATTAGACGATTTACTTGGTACAACGATAGAGTCTTAATGAACATACTGAACCACTAAAGTCCTACAAAAACTGGTTCAATTATAAAAATTGTTGATTTTTAAAAATTTGCTTTTCGAAAATAGTCCCAGTTAACGTGTTCGTTTGTTTACAATTATGTGTAATAAATCCATTCGGAATACTTTTAATCGCTCATAAATTAATTTAATTTTTATTGATTAAGTCGATTATTTACACATATCGGAAAGTTCAAGTAACTTGCCTCAAGGCAAAATACCAGTACCAACTAGTTTACCTTACGTTCCTATTCTATAAATAAATGTATCATAATATGATATAAATATATATATTTTAAACAATTGTAAGATATTTTTATCCCTTTTTTCTAAAACTGCATACGATGTCTGGAAAAACGCCTGCAGGATAAATTTTATATATAAAGAAACAAGGAAATGAATTTTATACCGAGCGATTGTATGGATTCGGTAGCCAGATTAGATTTGTGTAAGAAAAGAAAATTCAATGTTTGTTAACTTGAATTGTATAGAACGACAATATTAAATTAAATTAAATACGGAGGAATAAATACAACCGAGACTTTTATCCGAGACTACAATTGCATTCGAATTTTACTGCACAATACGGTTCGGATTGAAAATGTAATGTGAATGTTTGCACAAACATGAATTTGTATGTAAATATTTATTTTTAAAAGAATATTCTTGTACAGTATGAATGGAATGGGAATTAGGTTAATATAAAACTAGATTTTTCCGGAAAAAATACGTAATGATAAATATAATAAATATGAGTTACAATAACAAAGCTACAAGTATAGCATTTAAATTTGGAGTTTTGACTAGGCCTAATATGCCTAAAATTTTTTGACTAGGCCTAAAATTTTTGTAAAAATGTTGAAAAACGATGTGATAGCATATTGCTCCTAAATTTATTTATATTTTAACCAAATATGCAAATAAATATGTTTATACATACATTAAATAATTTTTAAATTAAAATTTTATTCATTGAACAATTTGCTTTGTTCTTCAAGCTTCTGAAGTGAAGATTTTATGTAAAACTTATATACTTTCAATTCTGATTTTTCGGAGAATTTTATGCCAGTTATTAAATTTTCTCGACATTCCAATTCAATGTTTTGACAATAAAAATTAGAAAATGTATATGACCTTATATGTGTTAACCAGTTAAATATTATGTCGACGATTTTTAATGTAATAAAATTATCAATCAAAAATATAAAAAAATCGAAAATACGTTTTTCATATAGCTTTACGTTTCAAAGGTTTCTGAACATTTTAGCACTCCTTAGAAAAAATGGATGCATGTGTGTATATGTATGTGTGTGTGTGCGGATACGAATTTTCGACCACAATTTCTGGAACACGGATCAACCGATTTCAACTTCAAAAAACATTCAATTTGTATCAATGTGGAGACGTGCTAATTAGTTTTTGGCAGAGTCAGATCCAGCCGAATTGAAGATACGGGACAAAAAGTGCCAAAAATTGTATTTTAGTTTTTGAGAGAACGGCACGTCCGATTTGATTGATTCAAAAAACATTTTACTTGTATTGAGGCAACCAAGCACAGGTTATAATTTTGGAAAGGCAGGACCAGCAGTTTCGGAGGTCAAATAAAAAAACTAAAGAAAAGCCATTTAGGGGCCAAAAACCATAATTAGACATATGCACATCAAAATATCAGATATTTTATAGAGATTTAAATAATTAGTACTAATTTTGTTTATATTTTTATGCGTTTAGTATCAATGTTTATCTGTAAGACGGGAAATGGATACGGGAAGTTCCAGCAATCTGCTTTAAGGCACGATTTTATGCACGTTTAGTTTAAAATATTTTAATCTTGTTAAAAAGATGGAAATGAACTTATAACACTTGGAAATGAACTTAGAATGATAAAACCACTTGGAAATTACACTTTTATACTTTCTAATGACAAGCAGAAACTTTATTTTCTAAATTGTAGGAAATTTTTCTAAATTGCCAACTCTTGACTCGTATTAATTACGTCGATTATTTGCACATTTGCGAAAATTCATGTAGTTTTCCTTAAGGCAAAAAATCACATATACTCAATATTTTAACACTAGTATGACGGAGAGGTTGCTTGTATACATATTTTGCCTAATTGAGAGTCAATTTGGGTAAGGAATAGAAATTACTTTCGTATACCTTTTATTGTACTATGAAAAACCAAAAAAATATTTAAAAAAATTACTTGAAATTATTATGTATATCACATAAAAATGCAAATAAATCAAATTGACTGGCTCCGTCATTCTAGTGTTAATTACTGCACAAAAAACAATATCAATATTTTTCTTCTTACCTGTGTGGAAAGTAACAGAGCTCTGGCAATATCGAAAATGTGTCTGGAAATGCCCTCGGTGGGACCCATTATGACCAGAAGATAAGTTATACCCAATAGTGGAATCAGCACTAAAAGAGCCTTGCTAGCTTTCCGGTATTGCTGGGTCTCTAGGGTATTGGCCGAACGGAGTTTCGTTATGAGAACCTAGGAAAAATAATCCGAGGATATGTATTAATCAATTAATAGATCAAAAGATATTATCAAGACAATTCTATTAAATATATCATGAGACAGAACCCTTGTCTTTTGTAAATGATATCGAATATCCTGACTAAATTCTCGAACGTTGTTTTAAAATTTACTATTAACACTTTGGGGACGGCTGTCCACCTCAGTGGACAAACATACTCTGTGAGGCACAGGCTATTTTATAAACAATGACTCAGTTTGCATCAAAAAGATGAACTAGTTGGTTTGGTATTTAGCCTTGAGGCAAGTTACATGAACTTCCCGATATGTGTAAATAATTGACTTAATCAAAAAAAAGTGTAAATAATATACTTCATCAATCCTACTTTAAAAAACGATAATAATTTTAGTAAAGTTTGACGAATTTTTAAAATTAAACTACTTGTCGTAATGCCGTAATATTACAGTAAGTTCTATAAGACCATGATGTATATCGCCAAAAAAAGTTCCATGAAAATCGGCTTAAATTTTTTTTTTCAACAGTTCATTACAAGAAAACGGCTCGGTAGATTTTCACCTAAAATTAATCAGTACCATTCCCAACTAATATCTTTCGAACAGTTTTTGATTTTTTAAAATCGGTTCGGTAGGATGAGCTTAAATGTGAACGAAAATTTAACACTTTTTTTCAACAGTTAATTACAAGAAAACGGCTCGGTAGATTTTCACCTAAAATTAATCAGTACCATTCTCAACTAATATCTTTGGAACAGTTTTTGATTTTTTAAAATCGGTTCGGTAGGATGAGCTTAAATGTGAACGAAAATTTAACACTTTTTTTCAACAGTTAATTACAAGAAAACGGCTCGGTAGATTTTCACCTAAAATTAATCAGTACCATTCTCAACTAATATCTTTGGAACAGTTTTTGATTTTTTAAAATCGGTTCGGTAGGATGAGCTTAAATGAGGCCGAAAATTTAACACTTTTTTTCAACAGTTAATTACAAGAAAACGGCTCGGTAGATTTTCACCTAAAATTAATCAGTACCATTCCCAACTAATATCTTTCGAACAGTTTTTGATTTTTTAAAATCGGTTCGGTAGGATGAGCTTAAATATGGACGAAAAGTTTAACACTTTTTTTAAAATTGCAAAGAAACGGCTTAGCAGATCGTCGCACAAAACTGACAAACGATAGTCTTCCCCGAAATACATCAAATGGCTTTTAAATTTCTGAAATCGGTTCAGGCGCTTTTGAGAAAACGTCGATCAAAAGTATAATTTTGACAAATGTCAAAAAAACTATACCAGTTTTTGCAAACTTTGACGAATTTTTAAAGCTAAACGAGTTGTCGTAGGGCCGTAATATTTTAGTATGACCTAGAAAACTATGGTATCTACCGTCAAAAAAAAAATCATAAAAATCGTCGAATTTTTTTTTTTAAAACGTTATTACAAGAAAACGGCTCGGCCCATCTTTACCAAAAACTAATCAGCACGATTCCCAACCAATATCTATCGAATGGTTTTTGAATTTTCAAAATCGATTTAGAATTGCGTGCTAAAACGTGGGCGAAAAATTTTTCACTTTTCTGCAATTTACAACGAAACGGCCCGGCCGATCGCCGCACAAAAGTCAGAGACGATAGTCCTCATCGAGATACATCGAATGGCTTTTAAATTTTTAAAATCGGTCCAGTCATTTTTGAGAAAACGTCGATTTACGGCAAAAAATCTGTTCACATACACACACACACACACACATACACACACACACATACTTTTTCCAAATTTGGTCTCATTCGATTCAGAATGGCTTGAAACGTCGAGAAAACATAAAATTAGCGAATCGGACTTTTTGATGAAAACATAAACTTCTCCTTCGGGAAGTTAATAAATTACATATAGCAGTGATAAACAGTATTGTATTTTAAAAATAATTTTAAGTTATTTTAGTGGTATTTTTAGCCTTTTTCTTTGCTATATGGTCTTTTTTTAATATTTAAAACGACCGAGCGCTTTTAAATATGGCAGAACGACTGGTGAGTTTTGTGAATTAAGCAGTAGTGAAGATGAGTTTCAAATAGACATTCATACAGACCAATTTTACGAAATTACTATTCGCACCGATGATAGTGATGAATGTGATGATGATATTATCCAACCAACAAAAAGAAGAAGAAGTTCGATAAAATAAATGAAGAACTTGAAGACATTAGCGAATGTGATGATCTTCCTTCAGTAATCGAGTTTGACATCCATCAACAAACACCCCGACTACAAATACCAAGCAATATAAGACATCCAATAGATTATTTTACTTTATATTTTACAAATGAATTATTAGACAATATAATAGAAAGAATAAACCATTATGACAGCAAAAAAATGACCAAATATACTAGACTAATCAGTGGCATATTCTAAATTCTGAAAGAAAAAGGGATTGTATTGTCTGTTCTAACAGAAAAGCACCAGGAGGAAGGCGGCGAACAACATTTTATTGTAAAACATGTCAAAATCAACCAGCTATGCATTATGGAAATTGTTTCGAACGTCACCATTCTTTATAAAATGATCAAAAATAAATTAATATTACAAAATGTATATCCTTCAATGACCACAAATTGCATAACATACCCAATGAAATCAAGTTTACAGCCGGTAAAGTAGATTGTTTTGAAATCGGTGCCGTCCCGAAAGTGTTAAATCACAAACAAAATCTATCCTTTATAGTTTCCACTATTTAAAATCCTTTAAAAGTCCTTTTCAACTTACCCACATGATTCGAAATAAGAACAGCAAGTTAATCACCAGGACGAGACAGGCGGGAGCTTGGTAGAGCCAATCGTATACCTGTTCCCCGAGCCACGAGCAATGTGGATTATTCTGAAAGGAATAAAATAAAAAAATATATAAATACACTGTGATAAATAGGTCACTGAGGTAATACATCTTGTGCAAAAGGCACAGGCAGAAATATTGCTAGAGAGAACTGTGCTTATTCAAGATTAATAGAGAGATCAAGGTGTAAAAGGTCCAAAGTTGAATAAATACATCAACACCAAATGATAAAGACACAGTCTTTTTATTTCAACTGTTCGTTAGAATGGACGTCTTTTATCATATAATAATTATAATTTGATTTTATTTATACATATTTGTTAATTTTCAATTTTGTTTTTTCAGAATAAATACTTGTTTTCTTTTTCACTAGAGTGCATTTATAAAAGTTCATTGAACGCAGATAGATAAGTATTGATAGATAGATAATTACATGTAGAGATAGATGTAGACAGATAGATAAATAAATTAGACCAAAGTATAAAAGTAAAAATGAATATTCGTATGATTTAATTATAGAATAAATTATATAAAATATTGTAATGACCATATTATATACATATAATAATGACATGCATAAAATAATACTATTGTATAGATATTGTGTACGATCTCTCATACCTGTCTGAAATATATAAAATTTATGTTTTCAATAAAATAATGAAAAAAAAAAAAAAAAAGTTTCTGTGTTGTCAAAATTTGTATACTTCATGCACTGAAGATGAAACAAAATAGACTCGGAACGTAAAAAAGATATTAAAATTTTTTTTTAGAAACATTGTATATTTCGTGTTTATTTGCAAATCATCAATTCAAGTCAGCATAGACGTCATTTATTAATATGATTTATTATCATAAAATAATGTCATTTATTAAAATGTCAATTAAATATTATTTGTACATATATATTTTTCTGATTATTTTAATTTTTTCAAATTAAATACTTTTAATCTAATTCACGTGCATCCACAATCCCGCACCAACTGTTGGTCAGGATGGACGTCTTTTATTATATATTGAATATAATTCGATTTTACTATTTTTATCATTCATATTTAGTATTGATGTCATTACTTGTGTCATTTTTTAAATTTTCAATTAAATGTTTTTAAAATTAAGTACTTTTATTCTATTACATTAGCATGTTCGTTTTCAAAGTAGTTTGTTCACTTAGCATGGTTTTTGTTTAAAATTGCGGTTCGAAACCAAGTGGTTATTGAATTTTTTAGAAACATAATAGTTTTCTTTCTGTTATCTGGATGAAAACCTTCTGAAACAATTTCTTTTTTATATATGATTCTTACATTTTTTTCCACATATGATTTTTACAATTTCACAAACAAAATTAACGTTTATATTGACATATAAATTGCGGATTATAATCAGGCATATAGTAAGATAATCATCACAGATAAGAAATATATTTTAACTTAAAAAATTAAAAAGTCTGAAGAAAACCAATTAAATTTGTTTCTTCACAATCTACAAAATAGTAGATAATGACGTATTTTCAAACATATTTTTATGGTCTGTATTAAGTATGTTATTAAGGTAAAAAGTATATTCTTTCAATTCTATAATAATTAAAAAAGTGTATAAATTCTTATTTTCTTAAATTTATTACAAACAGGTCCTGAAGGGAGAGTCATCCTATATATCTGAAACGTCGAACAAAATTGAAAAAAAAAATGTTGAAGAAAAAAATTTTTTAGTTAAAAAGTATAACAAATATTAATAATATCTATTCAAAAGACAATACACACATACACACACACACACACACACACACATATATATATATATATATATATATATAATGTGAAAATATTTTTTTTTATTTACTTAAAATGTTCATGTTATTTTTAAATAGTAGAATATTTTTTATAAAACATATACACTTGTTTCAATATAAACCATTAATTTATTATTATAAGTAAATTTCGCAGATAATTTTTAGCAGACACATAAAGAACAAGATAATAAGTCGTAAGTATAAATTATTAAGTAAAAGCTTTAAGAGTTTTAATGAATATTTCATCCTCAGACTTCTACTTTATTCATATGAAATTCGTTTTCACAAGAGAACAAAAAAGTAATATCTACATTCCGCTGGATATTATTTCTGTTCTGACCTGAAAAATTAATTAACAGAAAAAAGCGAGAGCTAAT